AAGAGAAATAATAAAGAAATGGTAGAGGAACGATACCAATGCACAAATAAAGCAACACAATGATAACAATACAACAAGAAAAAATGAATTTATCTTACAGAAAATACAACACCAGAAATAGCAATGCGTATTTCGGTTTGAAATGCGTCTATCAGCCCGTTATTTGAATCTTCATGTGTTATTTCAAAGAGGATTTCCGCGAGATTTATCGCACACAGTGGAGTAGAATCTGGGCTTCTCATTGTCATGAATCCTCATGTGCCTTCTCATATTACCTGATTGAGAGAAATTTCTCCTGCACTCCATTTGCAGGACAAGTGTACGGTTTCTTAGCGGTATGAATCGTCATATGATTATGCAGAGCCGATGACTGGGTGAAACTCATATTGCATTCCGAACAAGAGAACGGCTTCTCACCATTATGAATCCTCACATGGTTACGCAGAGTCGATGTCGTGGTGAAAATTTTCCCGCATATTTTACACTCGATCGGCTTCTTACCTGTGTGAGTCCTTATATGTGTACGCAGACTCGATGGTGCAGCGAAATCTTTCTTGGATATTTTACATTTGAACCGCTTCTCACTTGTGTGAGTCGTATGTTCTCTTGACATCTTCCTCTTCCTTCCTATACTTGTTTGTTCCTTACTCACTGCTTGAATTGATAAGTTCAATGACCTTTCGTCATCCTGATCTGTATGTTCTTCCAGTCTAGATGTTTTCATTTGATATGACTCGAGCCATGATATCTTCGGTTTTATTCCTATACTTGTTTGTTCCCTACTCCTCGAATTGGTAGGTTCAACGAACTTACATCATTCGGATCAATTTCGCTGAGTTCTACTTGTCCCCCACTCACTTCTGACGCTGATAGATCTGATGATTCCAATCCGTCCCTCACTCATTCTTGACATTGACAAATCCAACGGTTCTGTTTGTGGCTCCTCAAATTATATGGAATTATCAATTTTAAACTGTGCTAAAATTTTGAAATCTTAGAAATATTGCAGCGTGACCATCTATTTTTTTAACTTTAAATGAACTTACGATAGTTTGAGTGTTCATATTGGTAATTGGCCGCTATTATTTCGCAAATGTTTGTCGAAATAAATGGAATAAGAAAAACTTATTGAACGAAATTCCACGGAAGACACTTTGACAAATACCACCAATCATATTGGTCAGGGATCGCGTGTATAAATACTAATTTCGATGGGAGTGGCTAGCCACGTGTATCGATAACCTATAGTAATATAATATTAGCAATCACTTTTAATCCTTTATATAGAATAATTTAAATTCAGCTGCCACGTTGCATTGTGAAATGAATAATTTCAAAAAGAAAAAATAATTTCAATTCCATATTGCATTGTGCCATATTGCATTGTAAAAAATAATTTATGCAAAGCTTTTACAACATTTTTTCCAGTTTTATCCCATTTCGCTCCGAAACTATTTCTGGCTAAATCTTCCAAAAATGTCAATCACATTGATTTGATGAAGAAAATTTAAACTGAACTTGTGGATATTATGATGATTTGCAAAATTTAAAGATTTGGTCATTCCTTAAATTAATTTATGAAAATTAAAGTATTACACGTTTCTATCTTTAAATATGCCAATCATTACAAAAACATGTAATACTTCAATTATCGTAAATTAGCGTCAGAAA